ATGCTCGTTCAATATCCAAGAATACAGACACTGCCTTACCTTTGTTACATAATGATTTGTTGACATCTTCATGTAGCCTACCAAATGATCAAGTGGATACTTCTTCCAACAGAAACCAGAGTGAAACTGGTCGAAAAGGTTATGTTTTTCACAATACCAATTCATACAGTAAGCAATCATTTGTTCCATAATTTTACACATAGTAGAAGTAAGAGCAATTGGTCGATATGATGTAACAGAACTTGGATCCTTGTCTGGCTTAGGGATTGGACAAACTATAGTGTTTCCAGGCTGAAGGGAGGGTACCTTCATTCCATACCTTATTGAAAAATTCCAGCAGATTTACCAAAAATTGGGAGGAAAAGATTTTTATAGATTCTATAAGGAATTCGATCGTCACCAGGGGCCGAGTTTTTAGTCGTCTTTATTGCTCGGTTAATTTCACCGATCGTGAATTGTGCTGAATTGAGCGTTCAACCCATTACTATTATTTGGCTTCTTTGTAAAGGTGGCATGGTGGTCATGTTCAAATATTTTTTTTTATTAGTTAAAAATTCGGGCGAATAATTGTCGGAACTGCTGATGTGTGCAAATTGATCAGATAGCGCATTTGTCTTTTCAACATCCGTCAAATATGTTGATTCAAGAGTTTTAAGGGTAGGAATAGAGATAGAACCCCCACCATGCATACGCTTTACGAATTTCCATATTTTACTTACATTTGATGAACGATTGAAACTAGAGCAGTAATTACGCCAGAATCGTTGTTGGAGTTCTCGAATCGTATGTTAGCAAATGGCCTTCTGCTTTTTATACTCAATATAATCGTTTAAAAGACGCGTTTTAAGAACTTTCTTCCTACTCTTGTGTTTTTGTTTAACTGCTCTCTCACATTCCATATTCCAGTAAGGGGTTTGATGTTTTCCACAGTCTGTGGTTGATAGTGGGTTAAATTTCTCTGCTCCTTCCAAAATAATAGTTATTAGATGAGAATGTACAGATTCGACAGAAGAAGACATATCTATGTTTTGAATGGAAGATTCAAGGAATGAACGGAAGTTGAGCCAGTTTGCTTTGTTAAAGTTCCAGAAGGCCGTTGTACTTCTAAGTTCAAGAGGGATATTAACAGATGTAATTACCGGGAGATGGTCACTTCCCAGGTCATCATCTAGAACATCCCAGGTAGCAAGACTAGCAAGTTTACTGTCTACAATAGTGAGATGTAGAGAAGAGAGATTACTCCAAACAAGACATGTCCCACGACCGTCATTTAATACCACTTTATCAGATTCCATAACTAGATCTCTGGGAATCTGACCTCGACAGTCAGTTTTTGTTCCACCCCAAAAAGGGTTGTGAGCATTAAAATCTCCACAAATTATACTGTTTGGAAGAAAAAAAAAACTCTTGATACTCAACAGGATCAATGGCGACACCAGGGTTATAAATATTAAATATCGTGACTCTGCCCATAGAAGTCTGACACTGAATCCCAACAGCTTCTATATTTTCTGGGCAAGTAACCACAGTAAAGAGCAAGTGATTCTTGAAAAGAGTTAGTACACGTTCTTTTGCTGAGTGTTCTCGATCTTTTCGAATAGGTTTATAACCGTGTATGCAGAATTTTATATGGGGTTTGAGAAACGATTCCTGAATACAAATAACATCGGGATTTATGCAGTGAGTTTCAATGTAACGAATAAGGAATGGAGCATGAGCCCCTGTCATTCCACTGTAATATTTGTTTCTTTTGAATTTCGCGCAAAGCTACACGAGGGCTATCTGCGCTAGCCGACCTTAATTTAGTAGTATAAGACTAAAGGGAAAGCAGCTAGTCATCATCACCCACCGCCAACTCTTGGGCTACTCTTTTACCAACGAATAGTTGGATTGACCGTCACATTATAACGCCCCCACGGCTGAAAG